CGACGGTTCGACAAAAAATGAGATTGACTTCATTATGACGACCAGACGACACCTGTTCAGTGATGTCTCAATGATCGCGAAAGTGAAAAATGACAGCGATCACCGAATGGTTGGAGGCACACTGAACCTAAACGTTAAGTTGGAGAGGTCTCGTCTAATGAAGTCACCGCTCCGTCCCCCTCGTGCTCTAATCCAAAGTTCCGAAACCTTTCAGCTCGAGTTACAAAACCGTTTTCAGTGCCTAGAATACTGCAATGAAGTGGACGATATGAATGACAAGCTCGTGGAAACTGTCCATGCGGTCGGAGCTAAGTTCTGCAAGACCCGCCGCAGAAGAACACAAAAACTCTCCGATCACACTCTTAATCTCATGGCTGTTAGACGAGAGATAAAGCAACGTTCTTCAACAGACTTGACAGCATACAGGCAACTGAACAGACAGATCTCCAAATGCATGCGGCGGGATTTACGCAACTTCAATACGGCTCGTATTGAAGAAGCGATCGTGCGGAACCAAGGCTCCAAAGTCTTTGCCAGAGATCTGTCTGCCAGAAAGAGCCAACTGTCAAAGCTAAAGACAGAGTGTGGCAGCATCGTTTCTGGGGCACCTGAAATTTTGAGTGAGATTGAGAGGTTCTATGGGCAGCTGTACACATCATTGTTGGAGCCACACGCAAGTGTGAGGAACGATCCAAGAGCGAGTCTTATCCGACATTATTCCGATGATATCCCGGACGTCAGTCTAAGCGAGATTAGAATGGCTCTCCAGCACCTTAAAAACGGCAAGGCCCCAGGCGAGGATGGAATTACAGCGGAGCTTCTGAAAGCGGGTGGAAAACCGGTACTTGAAGTCCTTAAGAAGCTCTTTAATTCCGTCTTCCATGGTGGCATTACACCGGAGGCGTGGAGAAGAAGTGCGGTGTTCTTGTTCTTCAAGAAAGGCGACAACGCTCTCTTGAAGAACTACAGACCGATTTTCCGTCTGAGCCGCGTCTACATGCTGTTTTCGAGAGTCATTACGAATCGTCTCGCGTGGACTGACGATTTCCAGCCTCCCGAACAACCCAGGTTTCGAAAAGGCTTTAGCACCATAGACCATATACATACCCTGCGGCAAATTGTACAGAAGTCTGAGGAGTACAATTTGCCACTATGTCTGGCGTATATGGACTATGAGAAAGCCTTTGAATCCGTCGAAATTTGGGCGGTGCTGCAGTCCCTTCAGCGGTGCCAAGTTGACTGTCGGTATATCGAAGTGCTGACGTGCTTGTACAGTAGGGCTACGATGGCTATCCGAGTACAGAACCAGAGTACGAAACCTGTCCAATTGTAGAGAGGTGTGAGGCAGGGTGACGTCATATCCCCGAAACTCTTCACCGTTGCATTGGAAGACGTTTTCAAGCTTCTGGACTGGAAAGGATACGGTATCAACATCAATGGCGAGTACATCACTCACCTTCGATTTGCTGACGATATAGTCCTTATGGCAGAATCAATCGACGGATTCTACTCGGTTGGGCAGCGTTCGGGAAATTACGGCACATCTTCTCGTCAGGTATACCTCAAAACTTGAAAACGAGACTGTACAACCAGTGCTTGTTGCCAGTGATGATATACGGAACTGAGACGTGGTCCTTCACTGCTGGCCGGATGTGGAAGCTCAAGGTCGCTCAGCGAGCTATGGAAAGGGCTATGCTCGGAGTTTCTCTGCGTGATAAACTCAGAAATGAGGATATCCGTAGTAGAACCAGAATGACCGACATAGTCAACGGATTAGTAAGCTGACGTTCCAATGGGCCGGCCATATAGCTCGAAGAACCGACAACCGATGGGGAAAAAAGGTTCTAGAGTGGCAGCCTCGTACCGGCAGGCGAAGTGTTGGGCGTCCCCCCACTAGATGGAGTAAAAACCTGGTAAGATATGCAGGAAGTCGATGGATGCAGGTGGCTCAGGACCGTGCTTCGTGGCATTCCTTGGGGGAGGCCTATGTTCAGCAGTGGACTTGTGAAGGGCTGTAATGATGAGTTGACCCTACAGGCCATCCTTTGAACTTTCCGCTATATTCGATCTCAAAACGCTCGACAAATATTTTTACGAACTAATAGTTAACTCATCAAAAATGAACCTAGCAGTAAAGTTATTAAAAAAAAATCTTTTAAATTTGTTAAATTTATTTTAAAAACTTTCGACCGGTTAAGCGATTTTGATGTAATTTGTGGTAATCTAAAATATTTTTAAGAACAATTATAAAATTTATTGGAAAAACGGATTATACTATAAATTATTCAAGAGTTATGTGAAAAAAACACTTTTCGAAATTTTTCGTCATCGATTTCTCTTCAACGCAATAACCGATTTTGAAGCAATTTGCCGCGATTAACGTTCTTTTCCATTTTACGAGCTGATTACATTTTGGAATTGATCGTTACATCTGTTTAAAAGTTTTTATAAAAATTTATTTTTGTGATTTCCAAACCGGTAGATTTTGAGAAATCTCAAAAATAAAGATCCAGATCTAATAAGTTTGGTGAAACCCCTTCCAACGCCACTAAATTCTTTCAAATTGGTCAAGCCGTTAAGACAAAAGTTATCTGTATACAAGCGCACACACACACGCGCGCGCACGAACGCACACACGCATGCACGCACGCACGCACGAAAGTACTCACGAACGCACGCACGCACGCACACACGCCCGCACGCCCACTCGCACGCACGCACGCACACACGCACGCACGCACGCTCCCACGCACACACGTGCAAGCACACGCACAAGCACACGCTCATGCACACTCACACGCACATGCACACGCACACGCACATGCACACGCACAAGCACACACACACACACACACACACGCACACGCACACGCGCACATACATATACACACACACACACACGCACACGCACACGCGCACACACATATACACACACACACACGCACGCACGCATCTATTGTATCTTCGTGCTAAAAAGGAAGTACCTTTTTAGCCTACTTCATTACTACTAAAACTATTGAATACGTATCCTCGTTAGAAAAAGTTTTAATACGTAACATTGAAGCGAGGTCATTTCATATATTATCGTAGTGAAGTCACAGAACGACCTGATATTTGTTTTCAATCTCGGATTAATGGAAACGGAAGTTTTTCGACACGTTTTCTTTTGTGCGAAGTGGATTACAAATATATCAGCGAGTGACACAATTCTTCGATATTGACATCGTTTGATATTATACAAAATCTTTCTAATAATACTCATAAAATATCCAGCCTATTGAGGGGGCTCTGTTTACCAGGATATATTTTATATATTTCGCAGTGTGTGAAGGAATTGCATAACTTAATTTCTCCTCCTCTTACACCATCGGGTGACCAGATGCTCGGCCGGGCACCACAACATTTTCATCGATATACTATATCGACGTGTACGTGATAGAGCCACGCTGCAGCTATATTATGGTCAAATGCACAATAGCACAAATGGGTCGACTCAACCAGGGAAGGATCGCGCTCTCACAGTATACCTGCGTGAAATAGCAGAATAGTCTTAACTTTTAGTTCGTGGTAGAGCCATGCTGCAGCTATATTAATAGTATAGTTGTAGCACGAATGGGTCGGCTCGACCGGGGAAGGACCAAGCTCTCACAGAATACCAGTGTAAAATAACAGCTTAGTGCTGATGTGTTTCGTATGGTGAGTGTAGAGAACCGAAGACCCTTTTTTACTGAAAAAGAGGCATTCTATCTTAGTCCTCACGGCTGACAACGCATCTGCATTTTAATTCGCAAGCGAAGATAGATGTAGATGTCTATGGGCCACATCAACCACTTACCATCAGGTGGACTGTGTGCTCGTTCCCTGGTCGAGCCGACCCATTCCTGCTACAACCATAATATAGCTGCAGCATGGCTCTACCACGTAGAAAAATATTATGTACCTTCTCAGATGGACTTCTGAACAGACAAGCGGTAAAATAAAAAGAAATTGTACAACCGACATCAGTATAAATAAAATGAGTAAATATTCAATGTAATCGAAGTGTGAATTAAAGAATGAATTAAATACGCATTATTAAGGATAACTCAAAAAATCCTGGTCAGATCTATCCAGATTGTATGGGACCACATGAGAATCACTAGCTTTCAAATAAGAAAGATTCATCAAAATCGGTTCACATAAAAAAATAGTCGAATTGAGAACCTCCTCCTATTTTTAAAGGCGATTTAAAAGTAGTACCACCATCCAGTAAATTGTATGACTGTGAAACTCTGACAATCCACAAAATATCATAAAGGTATTTCAAGTATTCGACCAGCATAATATATGTATGCCATACTTTTATTACTAAGATGTGTTTACTATTTGTTTCAGGTAAGCAATTCTTCACATTCAACATCAGGCCACCACATTTCATCGGAACATGGTCAGGAAAAGCTTATTTTGTAAGTAAAGGAAAAAAGTCAAATATCTGTCTTTTACATCTCACAGGATTTCTGTTATATCTGAGAGGGTTTTTGGGAGGGCACGAAAAATTTTTACGTCTTTAATTCATGTTGGTGGACTTCACATGTTCTCTGTTCATGTTTTACAAATACATTGTTTTCTTAGACATGGAAGTTTCCTCACGACAATTTTTACTTTGTCCCTGAGCACGTGGCAGTACAGCACTTTTTTTTATAGAATAAGGGTGACAAACGAGCACACAATCCACCTTGTGGTAAGTGGTTGCTGTGGGCCATAGACATCTACATCTATCTTCGATTGAGAATTAAAATGCAGATGCGTTATCAGCCGTGCGGACTACAGTCGGGGATCATATTACTAAAGTCACAGTAAAAAAAATTGATTAATATTAGTTTAGGTGAAATAAAGTCATGATGTAAAGTTTTTTTTTTGTTTCGAATATATTTTATTTAGTATATTGCTTTATTAATACACTTAAGAAAACGGAACTTATGTATTGAATAAGTGAAAGAAATATAAAAATACAAATGAAATCAATATTTAGTGACACCGCCTTTTGCTTCTATAACCGCCTGAATTTTCCTGGGCATACTTTCGATACATTTTGAGCAGTTTATCTTTACTGATTCACTCCTATGCCAAACATCTATCAAACGCTCGATCAGTTCGCGTTTATTATTGACGACTTCTCTGGAAATTTCTCGTTTCATCAACTCCCAGAAATTCTCTATGGGATTGAGGTCCAGCGGATTCCCAGGCCAGTCAAGAACCTTTACTTTCTGGGCATTTAGAAATTTCGTGACCTTTTTTGCTTTGTGGCAAGGAGCAGAGTCATGCATCAACTTAAATTCACCGTTAGGAAACAACACCAGGACCTGGGGCAGCATCTTTGTCTCAAGTACCTGGATATATAGATCCTGGCGCATCGTTCCTTCCACAATGTTGAGACGACCAGTGCCTTTGCTGCTTATTATGGACCATACCATGACGCTGAGTGGGTACTTCACTCGGTTGACTATGCAATCTTCTTTGAATTTCTCACCTTTCCTTCTTCTTGCAAATTCAGCTTTGTCCGATAAAATTTGCACTGACGACTCATTAGAAAAACAAACCTGAAATATTTATTATTATTTTAGTGTACAGAAACCAAAATTTAAAATTAATTTAATGTGAATCCTTTTACTTCCAGAAGCTTCAAAAATTATTCACCTAACTAATTCCAGTTTTCGGCAGTCCAGTTCTGGTGTTCTTTTGCCCATTTTAAAAGCTTTGACATCATAGCCTGTGTAAGGAGAGGTTTTTTAGCCGGTCGACGACAAATGAACCCCAAGTATTTCATGCGTCGACGAACTGTTGCTAGCGAAATGTTGATTCCAGCATCCTGTACCTTCTTTGTAAGAATCTGCCGAGGTGCTTTCCTATTTTCAACACAGATATCCCTGATTTTTCTTTCATCACGAGGCGTGGTAATTTTCTTTCGTCCACAATTTTTCGCACGATTCGGCGTCAGCTCAACATTTGTTTCAAGTTTTTTTTTTAATTCGGTCAACTGATGCTCTCAAAACATTAGCAATCGATGCAATCTGCCTTTGGAAGTGCCCAGTATGCAATAATAAAGTTTTAATTTCGTAAATTTTCCTTGGAGACAGATCTTGATATTTTCCCATGATTAAAATATATCCTGCAAATAAAATAACAAAATTTATGTGAAAATGAAATTATTTAGCGACAAACATATTTTAAACAAGTTGCATATGGATGAACATTGTTAAAACACACCAACACTACAAAAAATTCGATAAAATTCATAAATAATCTCAAAAATACAATAACAACGAGACTGTTAAGCGTCGACTGACTGTGTTACAAAAAATGATAACAATGTGACAAATTATGCACCCTCAGTGTTGCCAATGAAAAATTCATAATCTGCACACATTCATAAATTCATAATAACAAAATATACACTTAGCTGACATAGTTTGAATATAATATATATTGATTAAAATGCCAAATCGATTATTTAAGTAGATGGCTCTAATAATATGAACCGCCAATGTAATATAGAATGCCTCTTTTCCAGTAAAATGGGTCTCCAGTTCTCTACACTCACCATACGAAACACAACAGTATTAGGCTGCTAACGCTGGTATTCTGTGAGAGCGTGGTCCTACTTCGGTCGAGCCGACCCATTTGTGCTACAACTATACTATTAATATAGCTGCAGCATGGCTTTACCACGATAAAAAATTTAAATTACTTAAAATTTATATTAAAGATTTAAATTGTGCAAGCAGGGAATGAACTTGGGGTCATTGTAGAAGCGTGCTCGTCGCGACCCCTGCCAGCCCTTTTCAGGGCTGCAATTCTACTCAGCTGCGCACCCATGCTAACGAGGGTTAGGGCGTCCCCCCAAGGCGACGCACACCAGCTCGTCCCCGTTGGTGTGGAATGCAGCGCGCAAAGCGGCGATGGGGACCGCCACCCGTCACGCACAGCCCGACACGGCGGAAGGTGGAGGACAGAGTGCAGAGTTGGCACGTGGAATGTTAGAGGAGGCATGAGAGATAAGACGAATGAGTTGATCGAAATAATGAAAGAAAGAGAATTAGATGTCGTGTGTATGTCGGAGACCAAACGGAAGGGCAGTGGTACTGAAGAGCTCCCTGGCGGGGCGTTAGCTCTATGGTCCGGAGTCCCGGAGAGCGAGAACGCCTGCCAGGGAGTGGGGGTGCTACTGTCTTCTCGGTTGGTCGATGTTATGACTGAATATAAGTTTGTGAACTCAAGACTTCTCTGGGTTCGCTTTAAATTGGGACTGACGAAGTTATTCCTTTTGGCTGTTTATGCGCCGGTAGCTTCGTCGTCCAGGGCTGAGCTGGAGGAGTTTTGGGAGAATGTATGAGAAGTTCTAGATTTGGCTAGGGGAAACGAAAGAATTGTTGTATGTGGTGATTTGAATGGATGGGTTGGTACCGCTCGACCAGGGTACGAGTCGGTACTTGGAAAGTTTGGCGATAAAAGGGTTAATGATGCTGGCAAGCTTATACTAGCGGTATGCAAGGAAAAGGGTCTTCTTGTGACAAACACTATGTTTAATCACAAGAAAATCCATATGTATACTAGAGAAAGAAAGAATGAGAGAAGTATGATCGATTTGTTCCTGGTGGATGACCGACTGCGAAAACAGGTTATGGATACGCGAGTGTTCAGGGGTGCTGACCTGGGAAAGGATCACTATCTAGTGATTACTAGATTTAGGGGTCTGTTCGCGGGTTGGCGCTACCGGACGGCAGTGACAGAACCACAGTCGGTCTGTCGCATCCGAAGCTGGAAGCTTCAGGAAGCGGATACTAGGGACAAATATCATGCGAGGGTAGCCGAAAAGCTTGACACCATCGATGGCAGAAACGAATGTGTAGAAAGAACATGGCAGAACCTTAGGGATGGAATGGTAAGTGCAGCGGAAGAAGTGTGTGGAACAATAAAAAGAGGCAGTAGTAAAAGAAGAGATGCATGGTGGAATGATGAAGTGAAAGAAGCTGTAAAGAAGAAGAAGAAAGCATGGTTAGACTACTTGGCCTCTAGTAATGATAAGGATATGAGAGAGAAGATGAAAGAAAGATATAGGCTGCAGAAAGTTCACACGAAAGCATTGATTGAGGAAGTGCGTGAAAGGTGTAGAATGGAAGCGGACGAAAGGTTGTCGCACAACTTTAAGGAGAACTTCAAACTCTTCTGGAAAGAGGTTGGAAGGACCCGAAGTGGTGCGACGGCCTTAAGAATGAACAAAATGCTTTCGAAAACTAATGACGTCCTCTCAGAAAAATCGGACGTCATGCAGCGATGGAGCGAATTTTATAGAGAAATGTATGCGTGTGATGATCTTAGTGAGGGATCCGGGGATGACGCCGTGACTGGTACGCCAGACCCGGACCTCGATGACACTGAGGTCATCAGTATGAAAGAGATTGAACGTGCGATTCGAAGTTTGAAATGTGGTAAGGCTGCGGGACTAGACAGAGTTACTGCTGAAATGGTCAAGTATGGTGGGCCTCGCGTCTGGGACAGCTTTCATATGCTGTGCAATTTGTGCTGGCGGACATGTCCCGGATGATTGGCGATCCGCAGTCATTGTGCCTTTATATAAAGGTAAATGTTCACATTTTGACTGCGGGTGCTATCGGGCGATCAGCTTGACCAGTTTAGCAAGTAAAGTATACTCGAAGGTTTTGACACGTAGGATGCAAGAGAAATCGGAAAGATTTCTATGGGAGGCACAATGCGGATTTAGACCTGGAAGAGGATGCACGAATCAAATGTTTTCACTCCGCATGATCACGGAAAAGCTTCTGGCTGCTAACCAGAAGATTTTCTGTGCTTTTGTGGATCTTGAGAAAGCATTTGATAAGGTTGTAAGGAAGAAAATGTGGGAACTGTTGCCGGGGTATGGTGTGGATGGTCGATTGCTAAGGGCTGTGCAGTCTCTTTACTGTGACTGTAAAGCCTGTGTGCGGGTAGGGCATGACCTGTCACCCATGTTTAGCGTCCAAACGGGCGTAAAACAGGGTTGTGTCATGTCTTCCTGGCTGTTCATACTGTATCTCGACAGCTGTTTACAAAAGCTGAAAGATAGCTGTTTGGGTGTGAAATTGGGTGACATAAAATTAAATTGTCTGCTGTATGCTGATGATGCAGTGCTTAATGCACCATCAGAGGCAGAACTGCAGGCATTAGTCACGTGCATGAAAGAGGAATGTGAAATTAAAGGTCTCCGTTTGAACGCTAATAAAACTAAGGTTCTGGTATTTGAAAGGGACGAAGAGAGAACGAAGTGTGAAATATGGGTAAATCAGGAATGTCTAGAACAGGTAAATGAAATTGTATACTTGGGGAGTGCTTTTAGCCGGGATGGAAGATGTGATTTAGATGTGGACAGGCGTGTCGCTGCCGGGAACAAAGTCAATGGTGCCCTGACTGCGTTAGTCAAAAGGCAAGGCGTAGCGAAGAGTGCACGCCTTGCAATACATAACGCAGTGTTGGTACCGACTTTGTTATATGGCAGCGAAACCTGGGTATGCCAGAAGAAGCATAAAAGTAAGTTGAATGCAGTGGAGATGCGATCTCTTCGTAAAATGTGCGGCGTTACCATGGCCGACCGAAAGCGAAACGAAGAGATTCGCAATATGGCAGGTTTGAAAGATGACCTTATCACAAAAATTGATAAGGGCGTGCTTCGATGGTTTGGGCACGTTGAGCGAATGAGTGAAGACCGAATGGTGAAGAAAATATATAGCGCGAAAGTTAATATTAAAAGGTGTCGAGGTAGACCGAGACTAACTTTCGAAGACCATGTGAGCAAATTGCTCGAAGAGGGTAGGGTCAAGAGTACTCGGATACCTAGACGTGCATGTATGAAGAAGATAATGAATCTGAAAGAAGCGAAAGAGGTATGTAAGGATCGTGACACTTGGCGATCTGTTCTCTCTGGCTACCCCGTCAGGGATTGTGCGTGAAGATAAGTAAGGGAATGAACTCTGGCAAGGCGGTTTCACACAGCTCGTCATACTATAACTAATTTTTTTCACTTCAGAAAAAGTAGGAGATTATCAATTTGACTCTTTATTTCTATATGTTATATATAACGCGATGTCTTTGTAGTTGGTGAACAGATTTTGATGATTCTTATAATAATTTTTACACATTATACATATATTAAATAAAACAATGGTAGAGCCACGCGGCAGCTTTTGCTGTCGCACGGATGTGCCGGCTCGAACCGGGGTGGTACCACGACCTCACAGAAAACCAGCGTGAAGTAGAGGTTTACCTCTGCGTTTCGCTTGGTGAGTGCAGGTGGACGGAGGCCCTTTTTACTGGAAATGAAGCATTCCATCTTAGTCCTCACGGGTGACAACGCATCTAAATTTTGATTTGTAATAGAGGATACGAGGGCGGCACTGAAAATTTCGGGAATCAAGGAAGTGACACAACATTACTATTTAAAATATATTTATTGCTTTTCGAAGTATTCTCCGCGAAATTTGACACATTTTTCCATACAATGGAACCAATCATTGAAGCAACCATTCCATTCGGAAGTTGGGGTCTCCAAAATGGCCGTTTTGTAGGCGTCCACAGCTACTTCAGGTGATGAAAATCTCTGTCCACGCAATTTATTCTTTATTTTAGGGAAAGTATAGAAATCATTAGGGCTTAGGTCGGGGTTGTACGGCGGATGGTCTAATAATTCTATGTTTTCTTGCTGTAAAAACTCTTTTGTTCTGTATGCGGTGTGAGAACTCGCATTGTCGTGATGGAGGATGATGCGGCGGTTGCAGTTCTCTTTACGGAGTTCAGAAACGACCTGTGGCAAACAAATGCTAGCATATCATTTTGCATTAACCGTTCTTTGTCCCTCAAGAGGAATAGTCGTAACATGGTCGGTTTTGGAGACAAACGTGGCCACCATTTTTTTTGCAACACTCCGTGAACGAACAATTTTTGTTGGCTTTAACTCATTTTGGAACACCCAAACTCGTGACTGGTTTTTTGTTTCGGGTTTGTATGCGTATATCCAGGATTCCTGATATACGCGTACAAACCCGAAACAAACCTGATACGATGTTGTATACAGCATTTGAGGATCCTGCGTGGAATCTTTCGA